GCAGCTTGGCTGGAGTGAGCACAGGTAAGGGCAAAGGCAGGAGTCGGGGGAGCTTGAAGGTTGACCTGAAGGCCAAATGGAGGGTCTGCAGCATGCAGGTCACATCTGGAAAGACCACTAGTCAGGAACCCTCCTTTACACTGGGACTCAGCAAGGCCTGGTGACAGGGTGACAGGGTGTGATGACGCCCCAGAAGCTCAATCCTCAACCATGGGGTCTCGGGGGATGGTGGGCGTGGGCTCCTGCCTGGGCAGGTTTTCTGTGGCTCCTGTGTCCTTGGCATTAGGCGCCAAACTGTCTTGCCTGAGCGCTAGCGCTCCTTTTCTGGAGTTGGCCCCCACCGCCTCGGGGGCTGGTGGGGCCGGGACAGGCGGAGCAGGTGTGTGGCCCACAGGGGTCCTAGACAACAGGGTACATGTGGCAGGTGGCAGGGTCAAGGACACGGGAGCCCTGGTTCTGGCTTCCCTGGGCCCATCCCCTCCTGGTCCTTGCCTGCCACTGCCCTTCGCCCTCCTGCTGCAACTTGGAATCAGAACCCAGGGTCCAGGCTTCAGGGCCTCTGAGGCTGGCTGCTCTGCCCACCCACCCTGGAAGCACCGAGACTGGTGCTGGCCTGGCCTCCAGCTGCCCCTCCGCCCTCCAGGGCCTCCGAGTTCCTCTTTTGCTGACTGCACTAGCTGTGAGACTGCGGAGCCTACGGCGGCACTCTCAAATATCTGGAGTTAAAGCTACATTTTTAAACTAATGAGAATTTTTAGCTTTTATAGACAGATTATGTCCCTTAGGAGAAGCCGCTCCATCCAACCTGTTCTCCACTGGGCAGGCTCTGGAAGCCCAGTACTCCCTGATCCTGAGACGGTGGACGTGCGCCAGCCCCTGGCCCTGGGTGTTGGACCTGCTGTTGATTCTCCTGATGGTGTGCTTGAGGTCTCTCCTGCCACAGGCAGCAGGCCCGCCACAGCCCAGCTGCCCTGGCCCTGTCCAGGAAGGTGCTGGCCTCTGGGAGCCTGGAGCAGGCCGTGTGCGGGGTTGGCTGGCTGAGCGGCACTTCCCCCGGGACTCCGGGGCCCCTGCCTCTGCTCCTGCCTGCTGTGCCGTCCTGTTCTCCTGACTTGGTTGTTGGGATTCATGTAGTTATTTTCTCTGCGCTGTACCTCAGGTGAGTGTGGCAACCATGCAGCTGATCATGACTAAGAAATCAATCGTGAATCCTACTGTCGCCCCGCGTAGATCTCCTTTTTTATTGTTAAACTGATTTGGGGATTTTAAGGAAACAATACACAGTGAAGAAGGTAAAACCCAAACCAGAGATGCAAGACATCAGGTGATGAGTCCTCATGGTGCACCAACCACTCCACCCAGGCCCCACCAGGGGCACGTAGCACACTCACGCTCACTCAAACATTCACACACACTCACACACTCACACGCTCATACATGCTCGAGCTCACACTCTTGAATGTTCACACTCACACTCATGCTCACACTCACACACTCAAGCTAACATGCTAAAAAGTTCACACGCACACCCATGTTCACATACACTTGTGCCTACACACATACTCACATGCTCACACACTCAAGCTCATGCACTCGAATGTTCACACCATTCACACACACACACTCACATACTGTGGTTTGCATGCACATGACCCCCACATATCCACATACTCGCACACAGGTTTGTGCACACCCACAGTCTCCTAGCTCATCACTGTCTGTGAGCTGAGACTTGGCCTGCTCTCCTGATGTGCTGACCAGTCCCAGCGGACGGCATGTGGCTTACTCCAGCTCAGACCTTCTATTAGTTATCTACATCATTCCAGATTTCTGCTATCACCAACAACTCAAAGCAGGAATAGCTGACTGAAAATTATTGGAAATTTTAAAATAAAAAGATCATCTTTAGGCTCAAAGACATTTTGAAAGGAGGGAAAGAAGTATTTCAAGATTTGCAGAGGACCAGGCATAGTGGCACATGCCGGTAATCCCAGTGTCACAGGAGGTTGAGGCAGGAGGATCGCAAGTTCAAGGCCAGCCTCAGCAAGTTAGTGAGGCCCTAAGCAACTTAGCAAGACCCTGACTCAAAATAGAAAATAAAACAGGGGAGCCGGGATGCGGCTCACTGGTCAGCACACGTCGGTGAAGGCCCCATAACCCCTGCCCAAAAAAAAAGGTGCAAAGAGGCAGAAGCTGTCCCACGGTGTGGCAAAATCCTGACCCTAGAAAACTCGGTGCCTGGGCACTATCTATACCCCCAGATCACCACTTTAACCACTCGCCAGGTGGAGCCACTTGTTTCCACATCTAATCTGGAAAATTGCTTTGGCACAGTTGCCAGAAACCTTGGCAGGAGCCAGGCCAGTGGGCAGGCCAGTGGGCAGGGCAGAGAGCTGGGAGGGGCCAAGCATGGGACGGGCCCCTGGGAGCAGAGCTCAGGCAGCAGCACCCAGGCTGGGCTGGCCAGAGGGTGGAGGCTGAGGCTGCGGCCGGATGGGAGTCTCCAGCAGGTCAGTGGGGACAGGGGCCAGGCCCAGCTGCCACAGCCCAGCAGCTCCAGGCAGCACCAGGGACGCCCCCCAAGAAGAAGATTCCAGGAGGGGCTGTCCAGGTACTTGTGCAGAGTCTCCAGCCAAATGGCCCCCTGGGCTGACCTCCATCTCCACAGCTGGTAGGTGGTCAGGAGCTGTGATTCGGGTCTCAACCCCGCCCCCCATAGCCCCTGTGTTGAAAGTTTGATTGCCAGCTGGCAGGTCCTGGGAAGGTAGTGGAAACTTGAGTAGGGGGAGATGGGTCCCCGGCTTTGCCCTGAACCCTTCCCTCCTCCTCTCTGGCTCTGCTTCCTGGCCGTCATGAGGTGAGCAGTTTCTTCTGCCACTCACTCCCTGCCATTGTTCTTCCTTGCTAAGTCCCCAGAGCCACAGGGCCAACCCAATCATGGACTGAAACCTCCAGAACCATGAGTCAGAATAAATCTTTCCTCATTCTAAGTGATTTACCTCAAGCATTTTGTCACAGTGATGAAAAGCTGAGTAGCACAAGAGGAAGGTGTGAGGTGTATCATCTGGGATGGGGGCATGAGTTGGCAGGGGATTGCAGATGGGCCATGAGCCAGGACCCAGGGGTGGGCAGCTGGCAGGGGCATGTGAGATGGGATGGGGAGGAAGGGTCTGGGCCACCACCCCTTCTCCCTAGGCCTCCTTTTGCTTGGCCTGTGCATGGCCCTGATGGATGGAGTAAGGGCCAGGACCTGGTTCTCCCTGAGTTCTCCTCTCTGTATCTGCCTCCCAAGGACAGCAGTCCAAACAGAGTGGTGTCCTGGTCTTGAGAGCAGGGGCAGGACACAGGCTGCCCAGCAGCCTGAGGTCCACTCCTGGGAGGACCTCAAAATGGAATTCTTGCCCAAAGAGCACCAGACCCCCCAGGACACAGGCTCCCATCCCATGAGGACAAATATCGTCCCTAAAAGCAGGTCACTCGGTTGATTATTTGGGTCTGAAAACCAAAAGGTCCCTAGAATTTGGAGCTACCTGAACCCCTGGATGCTTCTGCTCCGTCTTCACCCCACACTGAGGAGCAGGGGCCGGCCTCCAGGCCACAGGTGGGAAGACCTGCTCTGCTGCAGGAAGGGAACCCTCGGCCACTCCAGAGGCCAGCGGGAACTGTCTGCATGAAGTGGGAACTTCATTCAGCGCATCCCTGCGTCTGGGGAGCCGGCACCTGGCGGCTGTGTGCCTTGTGGGCCAGAGTGGTGGCCCGTTGGTGGCAGCGGCATCTGCTGTGACGGGAGCCGGGCTCTCCGTGTGCTGCTCATCTCCCTGTGATCAGCCCTCATTAAAATTCTGAGCTGCGTCTGAAGCTTCTGCAGTGGAGCTCATGGGCTGCTCCTTGTTTCCGTCTGCAGGGGAGGCCAGGCCACGCTTTGGCCAGGAGGGGCTGGTGGGGGTGGGTTGAGGGTGGCCAGCTGCCCAGCGTGGCCACTGTGCCCGGTGCTGCATCAACAGTCCCCCTTAGGCCATAGAACCCCAACTCCATGGCAAGGGTCAGGCCTCTCCAGGGTCCTCCATGTGGAGGACAGCTGGAGGTCAGAGCCTGCTTCCTTACTGCCCAGGCCATCGGCAGGCAGGTGTGTGTTCTTATAAACACAGGAACGCCCCTGCGTGGAGTGGGTGAGCCCGAGGCATGTGAGGCAGGTGGGCAGCAGGGGACACTGCCAGGACCCTGCTCCCGGGGAGGCCTTGGAACCTCCAGCTGTAGGCAAAGGCACCAAGAGGCAGAAAGTCACGCACACCCCACATCAGCACGACACCTGGGGGCAGACCTGCCTCTCACCCTCTCTCCAGGCCCCTGCTAGGGTCCCCAGGGCCTGCAAAACAAGCACGAATCTGCACATGTCGAGCCCTGCCCACCCGGACCCCCAGCACCTCCCAGGCTCGCTCAGACCAGGCCTGGGTGGGTGTCACAGACCATATGGCTCCTCAGTGACCCTCCACAGAGCTGGCAAGGTGAGAGGAGGTCACTCCCAGGGCTCCACCATGCTGGCAGGGCAGGGTCAGATTCTCATGGACCACCAGGTCGGTGCTGCTTCCTCCTCCTGCCACCCTCCACCAGCCCCCACAAACTGAGGCTCTGAGGCCCAGAGGGCCGGCAAGACCACCATGGCTCTGGCCTGGGCACGCGGAGGCAAGGCCCCCCCCCTCCCAGCCTGAGCTGCAGAGGCCCCACAGCTCAAGCCAGCCCCAGGGCCGAGTTGTCCCACCCAGAGCCCGGACACGGCAGGGCCTGCGCCTCGCCGACAGGGCTCAAGACTTGAGAGGACATGGGCCCAAGAAACAAACACCCTTCAGAGGTGAAGCCCACCTAAGACCCTAAAGGAAGGGTGGTCGGCATGAGATGGGCAGAGACAGCAAAAGAGCCGCCACGGCTGTGGGCCCAGCTGGAGCCCAAGGCTTCTCTCTGGCTGGACAGCGCTGGCTAAAGGACCACCGGCAGCAGAAGGCTTTAAGCTTATTAATTTTATTATCTGGTCCTTGAGCTCAGCCTCCCCTCAGGGTAAACATGCGTCTGTTGGCTTGAGTCTGTTAGAAATGGTCGGCACAGGTTCAGATGGGTGCCGTGGGGAGACGCGGGTTGCCATGGCAACCAGAGAGGGCTTTCCTTCCGCCCAGAGAGCAGTGAGGCTCACGGGCAAGCTGGCCATGGCCCCACACCCTCCAGGCAGGCACAAGCCCTGCAGGCCACCATCTCCACGTTCAAGCGGCTCCTGGTTTGTTTCTCAGTCTCCTCCAAATGGCTGGTGGCCATCAGTCCGACTGCAGCCTCGGGAAGAAGCCCAGGGCCTGGGCGACCTGCAGGCTGCAGCCATCCTTCCTCCAGGGGCGTGTTCTCACAAGTGCCAGTTGCCATCCTCAGCGCCTTGGCCCGTCCCGGGTGGGAAGATGCTCAGTCACTGCCAGAAGTCCCCTGAGCCATCGGTCTGATGGGCCTGCACCCCTTTAGTAGAGGGTTAGCCCATCTCCAGGCCAGCTTCATGGCCAGACAGTTTCCTGGAGTCCATGAATAGCCTGCAGATTCGGAGGCCACCAGGTGCAGAAGGAAGCATGGTCTCCGTGGGCCCTGGCCCTGGCCCCTCAGCTGTGGCAGGGTAGCCTGGCCTGCTCTTGCTCAGCAGGGGGTGGCTTGGCCCCAGCTGGGTTCCCATCCCTAACAAGACAGGACCCCCAGCAGCGAGCATGCTGGACCCACCAGCACCCTGGGCAGGGGCAGCCAACTTCCAGCAGCCCACTCTATGACTGCCAACGACCTTCCCATCAGCCAGACAGACACTCGGAATTGCTGAGGAGGCCAGGTCTGTCGAGGCCAGTGTCCTGCTAGTGAGACCTGCTGGTCAATCTCACGAGATGTCCAGTACACTGACCTTTCCAGGAGGCAGGCAGAGACAGCCCTGTCTGCCTCCTGGAGAAAGCTTTGAGCTGGGTGAAGTCTGTCCCCAGCAGTACGTCAACTGCAAACGTCCCCAGAAGGACTAGGGTCTGCGTGTGTCCGTGGCGGCCCTGTCCCACCAGCTCTGGGCAGAAGGTCCAGGGAAGCTCTGCAGGCTAGGCGGCTCCCACTCCTGCCATGGTGGGGCAGACAGTGTGCAGAGCGAGCAGAACGTTCCTCCTGAGTGGTTGAAACAATCAGAAGAAAAATGTTTCAAGACACGTGAAAATTATGTGGTACTCAGAGTCGGTGCCCACGATCAGCTTCCCAGCACCCCCCACGTCCACTTGCGGCCAGCTCGTCTGCTGGACAGGATTAAGTACCATGAGGGGGCACCCTACCAGAGAAGCCCGAGGAGCTGTGGTCTGGCCCTTACAGAGAGGTGGTCTGTGGCTGTGTCCCCCATTTTTCCTCCAAACACAGATCCAGGTGTTGCTGAGAAGGGATTCTACAGAAAATCCACTGGCCATATCCTATGGGTAAAGGGATTATCCTGGATGACCAGGTGGGTGGCCTTGCAATGGCCAATGGACCGGCCTGAAGACTAGAGCTGCTGGCAGAGGAAGAAGGAGTCCCACAGTGGACAGCAGCTCACCTCGTGCCCAAGATTTCCTGCGTCTCCCCGCACTGAGCCTCTCCAGCCAGTGGCTGTGCCCAGCGTGGGCAGCAATTCACCCCTGCTCTGCTGCTCTGCAGGTGTCAGGTGCAGACCCAGGAAGCACCTCAGAAAATGTGTGCATGAGCCCGCCTGGAGTGAGGACCCCACCACAGGCAGAGTGGCTGCCTTGCACCCAGGGGCTCCCCTCCCACTCTTGGTCTGCCGTTTTCCTGGCCTGGTCCGGTCCTTTCACCTTCCTCATCTGGCCAGTGAAGAGAGGAGGCCGTGTGCCTCTGTGACACCTGGTGGAGAAATTTCCTTGTGGCAGACACTGGAATCGTGGGCACCGTGGTGGGACACATGCAGACCCTAGTGCTCTGTGCTCAGCTCTGAGTCCACCCAGCAGAGCCTTGAGGTGGGCTGGCCCTGCACATGTCACCTGGGGGTAGCATCCCGAAACCTCAGGTGGAGGAACCCTGGCCTGCTGCGCTCAGGGCCAGGCGCCCCCTGAGGGCCAGCTTCTTCAGCCGGCCCCTGGCCACTCCAGCAGTCCTAGAGAGGAGGAAAGGAGGCCTGCTGAGAGCTCAGGGCAGCCACAGAACAGCTGCACCCAGGGCATGGGTTTTGCCTGCCCAGCAGACGGGGCCCCACAGCAGGCTGGGCCATGCGCAGCTGACTGCTCCGGGTCTCAGCTTCCCAGGCCTTGATGTCCTGCCCTGTGGGAGAGCAGAGCAGAGGCACCATGCAGGACCCAGGCCAGGTCTACAGCAGCTCTGAGGCCTGCTCTCCAGGTCGGGCAGCTCCTGGCTCCAGCTCCTCTGGGAGGAGGCGGGGGTGGGGGGACAGTCTCAGGCATGCTCAAGGCCAGACACTCGCAGCCAGGGCCTCCTCTGCCCCCTCTAGGGCCCTGGGACCCCCACCCCGAGGCTGAGGGCCCCCAGGGGAGACAGGCCATCTGTGCTCACCTGGCACTGCACAGCAGGTCTGTCTCTGGAGCCTGTGGGGCACGGGTGTCAAGCAGCCCTCAGGGCCCAGGGTCCCTCTCTGCCCGTTTGTCCAGATCACCCAGCCCTGGGGGAGCCACCTGAGAAGTCAGGACATCTGGGGTCTCCAGGACTCCTGGGGGGCTGTAGGCAGATGAAGCCCACCAGGGCCTCACCTCCCTCAGCTGGGGTCCAGGGCACGTCGCAGCATCCAGGGGCTGGGGGGAGCAGGAGAGAGGACAGCCAGCAGCACCCCACCGGATGCTCCCGGCCGGACCCACAAGGCAGGAGCCTGGGTGCCCTGTGTCCAGTTCTGCCCTCCTGCGTCTTCAGGACCACCTCCACAGGGGTTCCCGTTTGGGGGCCCTCAAAATCCAGGGCAGCAGGGGCCTGGATGCTCTGGAGCAGGCACCAGGGCCTGAGTCCAGGGAAGTAAAGCTGAGGAGATGGGCCCCAGTGGGCGTGGCTCAGTCACATTGGCTGGGCTTTGCCCCAGGTGTCCCCCAGGAGAACTAACCTTGTAACCCTCCCGGGCAGCTCAGCAGCGGTGGCCTGCCCAGGGGTGGCAGTGGGGCCCACCATGCTCCCCAGGCACCTTCCTCCACAGGCCCGGCTCCGCCACCCAGACTGCAGGAGAGGGAGGCGCCCCCGGGGCGAGGGGGGCACCTTCTGCCCGACCAGGCCGTCCACAGGAGGAGCAGCCTGCTGACTCACGCTGGGATGGCTCGCCTTCACCTCAGTCTTAGCATATCTGGATTTAAGGATATTTTAATACAAAGACCACGAAAATTCCTCCAAAGTCAGTTTCCTGGTTCACGTTTCTGTTCTTGGAGTCCTGAATGACAGGTATTTCCCTTATAAACGGAGTGCCACTGTCTGGTCCTCCTTCCAGGATGGGCTCTGACATGGGCTGTCTGAACCTGCTGGAGGGAGCAGCAAACCCTGGGCGGTTGTCTCTTTAAATCGGCTCTGCAGTGTGACGGGCGGGTGGCTGGCCGCCTAGCTGGGAAGAACCATTCCACCCTGCAGCAGGAGCCGGCCACCGCGCCGCCATCCGCGCCTCCCCCAGTCCCCATGGTTACGGCTCCTGCTTCCTGGCCGGTCCCTGGTCCCTGCCCGCCGCCGCGCGGAAGACAGGCAGGCACAGGCGGCTGGCGCCCCCCACCTGAGCCCTGGAAGCCGCCCGCTGAGACACGGTGAATGCCTGCTCTTCCTGGCTCTGACTCATCCTCTCCCGGTGCAGAGCGCCGTCACCGCTGTGCCTGGCCACAGCTCCGGGCGGACTGCAGCCCTGCAATCTGTTGATAACTGCACTTGCGAGCTCCAGGCCACTGGTGATGGAAATCTGTTCCCTGGTGCTGAGAACCCGCCACTCCGCACCTGCACAGGGGAGCACGAGACCAGCACCCCTCCAGCTGTCTCTGCCAAAATAGGTGAGAAGTGAGTGCTGCTCCTGGGGTCTGAGTGGTGGGCGGGGGCCTCCTGCAGGGAGGCAGGGGACACGCGGCAAAGGCGAAGGATGAGCTGCTGGCAGCAGGGTCCACTCATCAGGACCATTTCTTGGGCAAACATGCCAACTGGGGGAGAGGTGCCTCCCGCCACTGGAGAAGCAGGTTCTGGATAACTTTGGGTGAGCGGAGGCATGGAGCTCGATGAGCCCCAGCCTCTTGGCAGAGAGAGTGGCTGTGGGAGGGCTCCAGCCCTGTCCAGCCACACCAGGCGGCGGCTGCTGGGTCTGGCTGTGTGCCGGGAGATTCATTCAGGTTTATTTGATTCTCTTGATTTAAACTGACAGACATGTTTATTTGGCTTTGTGCAGCCTGAAACGATGCAGTTTGGTTCTTGTATTGGATGGTGAGCCAAGACTGATGTTTAAATAAGGACGGGAATGCTGCCCAAGAGGGCAGTAGCAGGCTGAAGGCACTTCCCTTCTTCCCCTTGAAGTCCCCAAGGCTCATGAACCAGGTTGTCACCCAGATCCCTTCATGCCCCAGACAGAGCCTGAGCCAGCAACTCCAACAGGCTGGCTGCTGAGGAGTCCAGAGGGGGCAAACTTCCAGGAGAGCCACTGCTCCCTGCCTGAGCCTGGGCACCGACCAGGGGTCTGCCAGCCGCAGACCAGGGAGGACCCTCCTCTAGGGCCACTGACCATATGCTGTCTTCACAGATGGGTGCAGCCTGCAGACCCCCGCCCACCCCGTCACAGCCACCTTGGCACCCTGAGGCGTCCTTGTCCAGAAGCTCCGCCCGTGGCTGTGGGATCTTGACCTTCTGGACAGCCATGGAGGCTGGCAGGGAGAAGGGCGCCACATAACCTTCCCCGCCACATCTCGGCCCCCTCTGGCACTCCTGCCTGGGTAACTCTGCAGGGCTCATGGTGAGTACTGGACCCCCAGGCCATGGCCTGGGTGCAGCCAAGCATGGCCGATCCCCTTTCAAGAAGGAGGCCCGGTCAGGAGAGTTGGTTGAGGAGTGCCAGCCAGTTAAGGGCAGCCCTCCACGTGCTCCGTCCTGGCAGGGGGAGACTCTGTGGGCAGAGGCCCACGGCCTCTGGCTGCCTGGGTCTCGCTGCCTGCCCAGGTCCTTCTGCGCTGGCTGGCTCAGTGCTGTTCGTACTGATGAGCTGCAGGCGTGTGGAAATGTCAGATCATTTAATCCAGTGACGTCAGTCCTCTGGGGAGAAAGCCCAGGCCCCAGGGAGGCCCCCTGGGGTCCCTCCCCATCAGGGCCTCAGCCCAGCCACAGGCCCTACCCCCACCCCTGCTGTCTGGGGCATTTCTTTGCCCAGAAAGGAGCACCGTGTGCCCAGCTGGCTGGAGCAGGTACCGGGACCCACGGGGGCCCTCCTGGGAGCCCCTCCCGGCTTGCTGAGGTTGCCACGGCCTCAGGAAGGCTGACGGCAGAGTGCAGAAGGCTTTGTGTGTGCTCTTGAGGGACAGAGACGGGCAGCCGCGGCCGGGCACGTGCAGGGAATGCTGATGGCATCGGGACAGGGCTCCGTGTCCCAGAGCGGCAGGGGCGCCCTGTGCGACCCAGCATCTGCCTCGTGAGTGGCATTCTCTCTGAGTCACCACCTTGTTTTCTTTTTTGACTCAAAAGGTCCAAATAAGAAAGACACTTTCTGCCAAATCCCGCCTCTCCTCAACCTGCACAGGCCCCAAGGCTGAAGGTCACGGGCCATATGCCTCTGGGACCCCCGGCCAGGCTGTGTCCAAGGCTTGGGTGGCTCTCAGAGGACGGCAGGTGGGCACTGGGCCCTGGCTTCCTTTCCGTCCACCAGCTGCTCCCCCAGTGCCACGCCCAGCGTGGCTGTCACCTACATTTGGCATTATTCATGGTTTTCTGTCCTCAGATTCAGAATGTTTGCAAAATGGAAGCTTGCCCTTGGCAGACGCCAAGAGAGCCAACAGGTGCTTCCAGAGGCAGCACCGGGCAGGGTCTGGCCACAGCTCAGTCCCGCCTACCCCCTCCCAGTGCACCCTCAGCCCCTCCTGGCACGAGTGCAGGGCTCCCAGCTTCTCAGTCCCCACGTGGAACCTGCCTCTCTCCCCGTGGCCCCGTGGAGCTCTTTGTGTGCTCCCTGCTGCCGGGGAGGAGCCCTCCTGCTCCCACACTGCAGACTGCCGGGGCACTCTGCTTAGCCGCCGTTCAGCAGTCTGCAGCGTTGTTCTTAACAAACAACATCCACACCTGAGGATTCCAAAAGGCACGTGTATGGCCGCCCTGCAGACGGCCTTCCCGGGTCCCACCTCTTCTGTGTGTCTAGAGGCTGTGGTGCAGGTGCGTGCACAGGTCCACTTGGGAGCCCAGACGGGGGCCCCGAAGCACCAGGCGCCTGCACAGTGCCCTCTGGAGCTTCCCCAGCAGCTGCCCAGGAGTGAGCAGCCTCCTCTGCTCCCAGTGTCAGCAGCATCTGGTCTTCCGAACCACAATCCTGAAGCAGCGCTGGATGCAGCCTTGTGCCAGCAGGCTGTACCACCCCTGGCCAGGCTCCCTCCCTGGACAGAGCTGACCTGAGCTCTGACAAGACAAGTTGCTCCCTGCCAGAGGGGACACGTCCTGCAGGACCTAGGTCCACTAGGAAGCTGAGGCCACCTCCACTCCCCAGGGCAGCTCTGTATCCCTGACGGTAACAAGCACAGCGGACGAGGCCCAGCTGCTTCTCCAACAGGTGCCATGATCTTGGAAGCCAGCAGACACTAAGAAGCATGTGACTGCTCGGTCACCTGTGGCCTCACCCTTGACTCCAAGAAGGCCTGTTCCTAAGGGAATGAGTGACACCTGAAGTTGCAGTTAGAACTGCGCAGACCTGGGTGCTCCCTCCGCCTCCTATGAGCGCCTGGGCTGAGGTCGGGAGGGTGCTCCTCGGGTGCACGACTCTGGCCTTCCACTGCTCGCTGCTCGCTGCTCAAGGAGCCAGGATTGGGCAGGGTGGCTTGGTGGGGTGCGCTGACATTGCCTGATGAATACCTGTGTGTCCAGGGATGCAATAGGATGGTATGTGGGGTGGCATGGGGTGGAGCTGCGTGGAGGGCCCTGAGGGTGGGAGGGCGTGGCACGCAGGGCCCTGCGGCCTGCAGAGGACGGTGTCTGCGGGCCCTCGGGGCTGGGGGCGGGCCGTGGGGGTGAGGGGGTGGACTGTGGGGTTAGGGGGCGGGCCATGGGCTGCGTGCAGTCAGTGTGGTGTCATGCGACAGCGCTGCGTGTGCTGGTGGGGAATATGAGGAGGCTTTGCTGCTGTGGGCTGGTGAGGCTCAGCCGCAGGACTTACTGGCACCGTCAGGTGGGGCCTTTGGACCGGCTCGTTCTCTCATCTGATTTTCGTCTGCTGCTGGTGGCACAGCACCTGGTGTCAGTGGCTTTGCTTTGGTTTTGGCGCCAAGAATTGAAGCAGCAGAGGACTCACTGAGGACTCACTCTACCCCCACTGCTGGGGATTCGGGGCCTTCATTGGAAGGGTCCTCTGCCACATTCAGCAGGGCCCCTAGAGCCATGACGGACCTGCCCAGCCCCTGCCTGGAGTGGAGGATCCAGCACATGGTGCTTTTGAAGCCCCTCTTGGAGTCCTTCTTCCCCTCCATGCAGAAGTGCCCAGTCCCAAACAGACTTGACGGGGTCAAGACCCCAAAGGCAGGGGATGGAGCACAGAGGCCTTCAACTCAGCCCTGCGGTGAAGCCCAGGGTAATGCCTCTTTCCCTGCTGGGCCCCAGGTGGATGGGGAACTCTGAAGCTGCCTGAGGCCTTCTCTGCATGAAGTCAGCTCTGGGAGAAATCAAGAATTAGGACCGGGGCCACAGTAGGTGGTGGGAGGTGGTAGCTCTAAGCTCCTAAAAGGTATGAGCTACACCTGTGATGGTCTGTCCCCCTCTGGCGCTGAGGGGGTGGGAAGGAGCCTGGACAGGCACATAAAAGACCCTGTGTCAGCATCACAAACCTTCCGAGTGCTTCCCCTCCCCAACCCAGCAGCAGCAGACTGAGCCCAGCCGGGTGCAAGGGAAGCCTCCGGCTCCTGCCACCCCCGCCAACGTTCCAGAACTCTGGCAAGTTCTTTTTGGCTTGCTGCTTTTTATTCTCTCCAGCCTAAAAACTTCAAAATGTACCTGGATCTCAGGTGGAGAGTGTCATCCCACCTCACACTGCCCCTTGAATTCTGAACTTTAAGCAAGTATCCACCAGTCCAGGAGGAGAGTCTCCACGGTGTGGTCCACCGGTTTTTTGTGACCTCAGGGTCCCATGTGCCCCTCCAACCTGAAACCATGACAAACGATACCTCTGTCACGTTCAGGCAGGGTGATCTGTGTTAACAACAAACAGATCACTCATCTTCCAGCTTTCGCCAAAACCTTTTCATGAAAACGTGATCGCTCGATAAGATGCAGTTGTCATTAAAAAGGCACACGGGACACGTCAGGTCCTGAAGACTATGGTCTGAGTCTGCACAGACCCAGGAAAAGCTAGGAAGAGGAAGAGGAAAGGGTGGAAGAGGACAGGAAGCTGACAGAAGGCCTGGCCTTGGTGCTCGCTGCACAGGAGGTGCCTGGAGAGGGGCCTTGTCCCCAGGTGTGGTGCCCACTTCCCCACCGGTCACCAAGAGGGTGCAGTTGGAGCAGAGGATTGCAGGTGCCTGACTGAGGTCTTCTCCCGTCCTCGCCCTTCTTCCTGCCTTCCTCAACACCCTGCGCCGTCCAACACAGAACACACCAAAAAGGCTGTGTCCACCTACATAAGAGGAGCTGGAAGGGGTTGAGAAAGGGGTACAATCTGCTCACGGTGGGGCGGGCACGTCCCTGAGACTGTCAGGCAGGCAGCACACTGGGCCAGGGGACTCTGTGTTTCCCAGGGAACAGAGGCACCTCCTCGGTGGCCTCTGAAGCAGCCTGCCCTCCTCAGGCACAGAAACCAGCAGACTTTCCAGGCCTCTCGTCAGGGCCGAGAAGGCTGGGGGCCTTGGTCCCTCCCCTCCCGGCCCAGAGGCTCTCCCGCTGTCCCCCAGTCTCTGACCGTCACTGCACCAAGAGGGCTCCAGCTTCCTGGCATCAGAGGACTTAGGCACCTAAGCCGCGCAGATTCCAACGCACGTGGGATCGGCTTCATGGTTGTGCCCAAAGAACATTTGCACGGTAAACTCTTCCAAGAGGAACTTGCCCATGTGTGAACTTTGAAAAATAAAATGTTACTCTATTTTGCATTAGCTACTTTGAATTTTAAATGCCAACTCTAAACATGTAGAAAGGCACTGCTGTAACTAATTTGGAGAAAGAAAAACACAGGAAACCAAATCAAATCCTAGTTCCTTAGGAAATTCACTGTTGACCCCAGTGAGCTGCCTGTAGTGGAAGCCCAAGGTGACATCCTGGGGCCCGGGGGCCGCTCCTGTGCTATGCCTCACCCGCTGGGTCCCCAGGTGAGAGGTCGGCCCCCACCCCAGGCAGGGTGGCCTCCAGGCTGCAGGCCCCAGCCTGGTTGAAGTTTCTACCAACACCTCCAGGTCCTGCGCTGGCTCACTGAGAGGTCAGCCTGTCCAACTTCTAACGTGGCCTGCCATGGCCATGTGACCTGAAACCACAGATGAGGTGTGTTCAAATGCAAGTGTCCCATGGGCCCTGGGGACAGAAGTGAGGGGACAGGAAAGGGACAGGAGGCACGCTGCTTCAGATGCCAAAATGAGCCCTCTGCCTGCTGTGACTGTTCCCTCCCCCCACACAGCCGAGCAGGGGTCTGAAACCCGCAGGCAGGCTGGCCACCACACGTCCCACTGCAGTGACAGTGGCCCCTGGGGAAGGCCGTGGAGGACCAAGAGCCCCCAGACCTGGGTGTGAAGCCAGCCGCAGCGGCCCAGGGCCTGTCACGGGAGGGAAGAGCCCGCCGCCCTGGTGCCCAAGTGGAGCTCTTGTTCCCCAGCCCTCAGGGGCAGCCCCTCTCAGCAGGGAACTCATCAGACAAGAGGGTGTCTCCAGGACGGAGCCGGCTCCACAGGAAGTAGGAGGACAGCCTTGGTCTTCCCACGACGGCAGGAGCGTCCCCATCACCCACAGCCAGCTCAGAGGCTGGGCACCAAGAGATGTGTGGGCTTCCCAGAGGAGGCCGCTCTCCACGGATCCGACCGGGCCCGCAGCCCTCTGAACTACAGGAGGTTGCTGACCCTTGGGCCCAGGGAATCAGAAGACCCAGGTGGCCCTTCCACCTCTGCTCTCCTCAGAGGGGACGGGGAGGCCAGGAGTCTCCAGCCAGCCTTCCCTTTCCCACCCTCAGGGCCAAGTACCCAGACCAATCTCAGGGCTGAGCCTGATCAGTGTCCAGGAAGAGAGAACCAGCTACAAACTCTGCCTGGGGAAACAGCCGGTCCCACTGCTCCTCCAACCACTTACCTCCTCCAACACCCACACCCAGCAAGTGCCAGACCCACTCAGGCAGAGTGTGGCGTGAGGGTACGTGAAGGCCAGGATGGGGCTGACCCCCCTTTCTTGGTCAGTCAGGAGCAGGTGAGCCTTGAGGTCTCCAGTGGAGATGGTGCAGGCCACAGTGGCTCTGTCCTGAGGCCGGAGTGTCCAGGCAATCTCATGAGCTTGCCATCTGGCAGGACGACAGCTGCACGGAGCCAAGAGTTCTACAGCCTGAGCCCCCAGAGTCATGGATGTTCTGCCCCATCTACACCTGTGCCTCCACAGACGCCTGCACTGCCCACGCCACCGTCTGGGAGGCAGGGGCCAGGACAGTGAGCACCAGGGGCAGCTGCCACCCGGCCAGCGTGTAGCCCCCAGAGATGCCTTGAGACTTGCCCAGAACAGGATGCCACATGGGGGCCAAGGAGAACGAAACCTCCATCAGCTCCAGATATTTCTACCAGGATGGTCAGTTCTACTCCAGCACAGGCACGTCCCGCTCGCCTGGGAACTGCACCGTGAGCCCTGGGCTCTGTGGCCATGCATAGTAGAGTCAGGGACACCAGATGAGCCAGGGCCGCGGTCCCCTGTGTATTTGTCCACAGGAACATTTCTTCCTCCATGTACTTGGGGTGGACACTACACAGACCTATGGACACGTGCACCCAACTCCTGATGGCTAAGAACAGAGCGTTGGTGGGTGTGAGTCCAGGGGTGGGTTGGGGTAGCCTCTCTGTAAGGCCCACTGAGACACAGTGGGCGTCTGCCAGGAGACGCATGCTGTGGAGGCCAGCACCATGCCTGTGTCACTCAGTTCTGCATCGCTATGACCAAAGAGAACAATGCAGAGGAGGAAGCATTTATCTGGGCTCAGGGTTTCAGAGGTTCTGTCCAGGTTGGCCGACTCCACGGCTCTGGGCCCCAGTGAGGCAGAACATCGTATCAGAAGGGCGAGGCCAAGGAGAGCAGCTCAGGGCATGGCAGCAGGAAGCAGAGACAAAATATAAACCCCAAACACGCGCCCCAGGGGCCCACTTCCTCCAGACACAACCCACCTGCTGTGTTCACCCCCAGCTGGTCTGCCTCAGTGGATTAGGTCAGACCTCTCTGAACATTCTGAGCTTCTGGGGGACGCCCCGTGTCTGGGCTGTCACACTTTGCCTTTGCCAGTCACCTTGGACAGAACAGGAGGCAGGCATTGGCTCTGGAGAAATGCCACCCTCTGGGAGCCGCTGTCAAAGACATAGGATGCCGCGGCCCAGCAGAGCTGGGGAGACAAAGATCTAGCCGTGGGCAGCCGGCAGCTAGAGAACTCTTTCATGAGCCTCGGGGCAGGGTCTTCTCAGCTACCATGGACCCCTAGCAGACATGCTGGGGGTCAGCCCGATGCCTGAGCCGTAGGCATGGGAGGCCGACTCGTGACCAGCCGCTCGCCCACGCCGGGCCTCGGTCACATGGGTCTCCTCTGCTTCCTCTCCAGGATTTGAAGACTGTCCTCTCCCTGCCCCGGTTCCCAGGGGAGTTCCTGCACCCCGTGGTGTATGCCTGCACTGCCGTCATGCTGCTCTGCCTTCTCGCCTCTGCAGTCACCTACATCGTGCACCGGAGGTAAGGCTGTAGGCCACCTGCCCCTCCATGCCCACCCTCAGATGCAAGCCCTGGGCTGGGCTCACCGCCCTTCTGGTGGCAGGACACCCTCCAGCACCCAGGCCCATCACAGTGGCTCAGGGAGAGCCACTGTGATGGGCCTGGGTGCTGCCAGATCTCGAGAAGCCAGGCCTTCCTGAGTGCCTGTGGGTCAGCACCCCAGAGCCCATGCCTAGCGGCCAGCAGCACCCTTGCTTATTGGTGCTGAGGCTTTTTACCCAGGAAGAGCAGTTTGATCAGATTTCTATTTCTGAGCTGGGTTTTGGCCACCTTGCCTGGGAGTGGGGGACGTCTTGGAGTCTGTGTCACCTGCAGAGGCACTGAAGTGTGAGCAGGGCGCTGACATAGTCAGGCCTACCCACAACCAAGGCGTAGGTCAAGCTGGGCCTTGGCAATGGTCATAGCCCAGGAGCAGATGGGGACACATTCAAGGCTATAGCAATCAGCTCAGGCATCGGCAGCCACAGCCAAAGAAGGAGGTCTGGAGAGCCAAGGTCATGGTCATGGAGAGGAAGAGAGGCCGTGGCATGGGAGAGGCTGGGGCAGGAGCAGAGGCCATGGCCACGGGAGAGACTGGGGCAGGAAGAGAGGCCACGTCATGGAAGAGGCTAGGGCAGGAACAGAGGCCACGGCCACAGGAGAGGCTGGGGCAGAAAGAGAGGCCACGTTCATGGGAGGAACTGGGGCAGGAAGAGAGGCTATGGCCACGGGAGAGACTGGGGCAGGAAGAGGGGCCACGGCCACGGGAGAGACTGGGGCAGGAAGAGGGGCCACGGCCACGGGAGAGACTGGGGCAGGAAGAGGGGCCACGGCCACGGGAGAGGCTGGGCCAGGAAGAGAGGCCACGGCCACGGGAAGGAGCTGGGGGGGTCTGAAGTCCTTGTCTTCGTCAGTCTGAGATGCTATAACAAATGACCAGAGATTGGGCGGCAAATCAACAGTGATTTACAAAAGAAGTTGATTTCTTACAATTCTGGAGGCTGGGAAGTTCCAAATTGGTGCCCTGGCAGATTTGGTGCCTGGTGAGGCCCATTCCCTGGCCCACAGGGGCGCCTGCTCACTGAGGCTTCTCATGGTTGAAGAGGCAGGCAGCTCCCTGAGCTGGCCTTTGCAGGGACACGGATACCCTTCCAGGTCTCTGCCAGAACACACACTTCCCGGTACCATCCCTTGGTAGTTTGGGCTCAGCGTAGGAACGGGGGCACACACATGCAGACCTCAGCCCTGGGATCATGGGAAGAGAAGTAGATGTGTTCAGGGCCGTGGCGAATTCCAAGGCATGACTGAGCACCAAGCCCTGGCCCCAGCTGGTCAGGCAGAGCCCCGACCCACCTTGTCATGAGACGGTCCCAGCCCAGAGGATGTCCATTCCAGGTTGCAGGCACTCACCGACCGTTACATGACCACATCCTCCCCAGGGTTGGACACCTGCTGGAGAGGGAGAAACCCATCTTGGGAACCAGGGGATGATGTCCCTTTGTCCATCACATGGTCAGATTGGTGAACTCTGCAGAGCCCTTCCGGGTTCACTATCCAAACGATCTTGCACAGAGTTGCTGGAACAGCAGCAAGAGATGGGGACGGCATAGGATCTGCTAGAGCAAGTCGGCATGGCCGTGCCCCACCGATGGTGTCCAGCTCCCCCGAGGGCGATCCGGGAAGAGTGCTCTGACGTGCTTTTCCATGAAGTGCCAGTTCCTAACCTGAGACCCCGTCTCCCGCAGTGCCATCAGGATCAGCCGGAAAGGCCGGCACACACTGCTCAACTTCTGCTTCCACGCAGCCCTGACCTTCACCGTGTTCGCCGGCGGCATCAACCGCACCAAGCACCCAATCCTGTGCCAGGGGGTGAGTGTCACTGTCTGCATCCTGCTGCAGATGCCAGTATCCTCCATGTCCCGGGGTGGGAGTGGGGCCCTGCCTCCTATGGCTGGAAAGGGAGTCAGGCATCCATCTGGCCGTCCACGTGACAGCTGTGTTCCACCTGTAGCCTGCGATCTGCTCAGCTTTCAATCATGCGGAACAACATATCTTCCACTGGCAGGCCCGCTCTGAGGCCTCCTTCCCAGGAATCGGGCTAGGCTGCCCCTCCTGAAGAGACAGTCGGGTGGGGCTCAGGGGAGGGACCAGTCAGACTCCCAGATGCCACCAGCCTGGAGTCAGGGGGAGCTTTGCCACATGCAGGCCACGTGTGGTTCTATTCTCTCAGGGAAGGTAAAGCCCATGGCAGAGGATGTTCCATAAGAACCAGGCCTGGTCCTGTTCACGTTGGGCTGTGGCTCTGGCCAAGAGCCCCGCTACAGTTCCAGGGTGGCCTCTGTGTGCACACACAAACCCCCCACCTGCTCTGAACCCAGGCTCCAGGGGTGGGGCTGTTCCAGGACCCAGAGCCACGTGCCGAGGACCCATGCAGTCTGTCTGGGTCCCTGGGGCCTCAGGCTGGTCCCTGGCTGCCTTTTTTACTGCAAATACAGAAACACCTATTGATAAGCATGGGCGGAGCCTCTGCCCCATTCCTCAGGCCCCTGTGACCCACACGGCCCTCAGTGGCTGTTGGCCTCCCCTGACCTGTCCAGCTGAGATGTGTGCCTGAGGAGGCCCCCGGGCGGACAGGCTCCAGCACTGCCTCTCCATGAGCCAGCGCCTGGGAAGTCCCGAGCATGTGCTGCTGTAAATGCACCTGGGGCCATCCGAGAAGTAGTCAAGTGATCATTATCTCTATGTCCACGCGTGGCCTCCGATTCTGTCCAGCTGGGACCTGCCAGCCACAGAGCCCGTGGGAATCACCTTGGGGACTCGGGGACCCTGCCAGGCCTCCCAGAAACCTGTACCAGTCCCCAAGCTCCATCCAGTCTGGACCAGCCCCTGGAGCCTGAAACCAGCCCTACCCCAGCAGAGGTCTTGACCCGTGGGGACGGATCAGGTCAGGAAATGTCAGTCATGGTCTCTAGAGGTCATGTCGTATGGTCAATGCTCCGCCATTGTGACAGCCGCAGGAACCTCTGGGAGGGAGTGGCCCTCTGCAGGCTGACAGAGGAAAGACCAGGACCCCTGCAGATGCCGTCCCCACGTCTGGCTTTGGTTCCAGAAGGGGCAGGCCTGGTCACTACTCACCCATTCGCTTGTCCAACATGCCTGCCAGGTGCCAGGCCATACATGGATGTGGAAACACTCCTGTCTCACTCAAGTGGTAGAACTTGACTCTGGGCAGCAGCAGGCAAGACAAGCCCGGCTACAAGCTAGTAGCACCCTGGGAGTGGCTAAGCTGCTGGCCGGAGGAGCAGAGCCTGGCACTGCAGCTCAGGACGCCCCCGCAGGCTGCAAGGAGTAAGACCCACAGCCTGACGTCACCCCCTTGCCTCTGGACCCACGTGGCTGCACATTGCAGGGCCCTCGAGAGGGAGCTAGGGGTTCTGATGTGCAGTCCAGCAGGAGGAAGGGGCCAGCCTGGGCATTCACACAGCATGGCAGCTCCCACACCAACTGCAGGGGAGAACCCAGGGGCCAATGCCTCCAGCTCGCCATTCACCTGTGACCACAGCCTGACATGGGAGCCAGGGCTCCTGGCCCCCTCCCGAGCCACACAGCAGAACGCCTGGAGAAGTGGTCCAGCCCTCTGAGTGGCTGGAGAGAAGAGACGGTTGCCATGGCGACAGAGATGACCCTGAGCCTCTTTGAAGTATTAAGTGACATCATAAGTGAAACGGGCCACCGCGTGCATCAGTGCTGGCCCTGGGCCCAGAAGCGAGGGCGTGAGCGCTGCTGTGTGCTGCCTCCTTTCCCGCAGTAGCCGGCTGTGCTTTGGCCTCCCCACGTGTCCAGCATACAGCTGGCGTTCAGGAGACAGAGTCCTTCCATTCATAGACTTCCTGGCCAGGCCAGCCCCGAGCTCACCTCCCTCCCTGAGCTCTGTCACCTTCCTCGGCGCCCTGGGCTGACAGTTGGGCTCCTGAGGATGTCTCTGAGTTTCTGTGTGCACATGACGATGATGGCCACACAGAGATTCCTGAGCAGCCAGAGGGACCCTCCTTCAAGCCAGGGCCAGGCCCAGGTGGCCACTGATGCCCATACTCTTGGGTGCAGAGAGCTCAGCGCCTCACACTCTTGTCCGGGCTGGGGGCCCCCTTAGTCCTTCAGATGTGCACACCAGCCCCCACCCCAGCCAGGGGCCCGGAAGGCACAGGAAAACGCGGAGCCACGCAGAGGGAGCTCCTGCAAAACCACAAACAGAGTTCTTTGACCTTTCCACCCCCACAAAATCCACATCAATCATTACAGACTTTGCTCATAAGTGAAAATTGAACTTCGGGTTTGATAAATCATTTTAATGGTGCAACATTAGCTTTTTCGGGGAATCTCTGTATTCCTTAAACGTTTATGTCCTTCCCAATTATAGCAATATTTTACTTGTCATTTTGAAATGTCAGGTTATTACCTTGAAGGTAACCTCGTTTCATGAAATGAGATGGAAACGAAGTAGTGCAGAATGTGTAATTAGCTAGCGCACAAGGGCCAGGGATGGGATGCAGCTCCCGCGGCCGTTTCCATAGTAATGAGTCACTCTGACGCGGGTGGCTGTCCAAACCTCTCCGGCAGGGCTTTTCTTACGTAATGCCACAGACAGCAGCACACAGAGAGCCCCGCAGTGCAGCTGCCTCCCCTTCCACTGGGCACCCCGTGTCATGGGACTGCAGAGGAAATGCGTGGGGCTGGCGTGGATGCTGCCCAGGAAGGGTACTTAGGCCACGGGCTGCCTTGGGCGCCCGCCAGCTTCTCTGCAAGAGATCAAAGTGGCACAGACAAGGGTCTCTGCCACCCTTGCTAGTACCCCACACCCTGAGCCTTGTTTCTTGTGGCTCCCGGGCTGTAGGAGCTGCTGGGTACAGGGTGTGGTCCCAGCCCACCTGGTGCTCCTGGGAGGCAGGCTGCCCGTGGTGGGGACGGGGGCTTCAGCTGACACCTCTCCCCCTCCAGGTGGGCATCCTGCTGCACTACTCCACACTGTCCACCATGCTGTGGGTCGGAGTGACTGCGAGGAACATCTACAAGCAGGTGACCAAGAAGGCCCTGCCGTGCCCGGGTGCAGACCAGCTGCCGTACCCCAAGCAGCCCCTGCTCAGGTACACAAGCCCACTCACCTGAGACCCTGCCCAGGATGTGCCTTCCACAGGTCTGGGGACTCCTCTCCAGGCCACTCTAAGCCTGAGAATTATCAGATCTTCCTGGGTCACTTGGGGCCGGATGGGACTGGGGACTGGGCAGCATGAGGTGGGGCTGGGGACAGTCGCTGGGTGGGCTGGGAGTACATGGGAGCACCAGGGGCCCCCGTGCTGGGTGCTCGAGTGAGGCCCTCTGGGCTGGGGGCCGGGCGTGGAGGCTGGACGGCTGTGGCTCACCCCCTGGTCTCAGCGGCTCTTTAGCTGGGAGGCCATCCCTCACTCGGGCAGTGGTTTTAAGGTGACTGTGTGCTGAGGGCCATTACCAAGTAGCCTGGCCTGTGGGACTGGGAGGATGGGTCAAGGGGCACTGCTCCTTTCTCAGGGGACTCACAGTAGATGTGGCAGGAACCACTGTGTGCTGGGGCGCTGGGGACAGCCTGAGGACAAGGGCAAGGTAGTGGCCTCCCTCTCGTGGGGCAGAGCAGGGAAGTCCCACAGGACCAGAGGTCCCCAGCTCCTCACACCACAACCCTAACAGGAGAGCAACAGGAGCTCTGCCATCCACTCTTCCAAGTGCAGACTGAGCCTCAACTCTGCAGCTGCACCTTCCAGCTCTAAGCAGGCCTCGTCTCTGCTGTCTAGAAGGTCACTGGTCTCCACCTTGAGCCTCTTACTGAGTTTTCCTGGAATGACCTACGTGTGGTTCTTGTGAGAGCCGCCTGCTGCTATGAGGAGCGGTTCAGGGGCTGTGGAAGCCTAGGCCCTGATACAGCTCCCTCCGGCCCTGACCTCGAAGGGCTACTCCAAACTCCACCAGGGTCTAGCACCATTGGAAGAGCACCTGGGGGCAGGCTGCCCAGGGCAACCGGAGCCCCTCTGCAGCTCTGTGGCCTGGCCTGTGCTGCTGGGAGTGTGTGGCACCTGGCCCTCCCCAAGGGTCTATAAGCTGGAGTCTTTCCTCTCAGAGCCCCGGAGGGCCCTGGGCACACTTGGCAACAGCCTTGGCCACGTCCTCTTTGACCCAGCATTCCACTCAGAGGTGGCTCTTCAGTGGGTGGCTAGGCAATGGGCATCCTGGGTCTGCACTGCTGGCCCCAGGCCCAGAACTCACATGCAGTCCAGGCCTTTCAATAACAGAAAGCAGGTCTGAGCCCAGGAGCTGTTTGGCCCCAGGAGGCAGGAGCCTGGGAGCACCTTACCAGGTGCACATCCTGCTCAACGGCCTGGACAGAACATTGCCCCCTTCTTGTTGGACCCTTGGCCACGGCAGCTGGGCAGCCAGTTCCTATGGGCAGCAGGCCGTACTTCTGAGCTTGAAGGAGTCCTGAGTGTCCTGGCCCCACCTGAAGTTCTCCAATGGGATAAAAAGAAAATGACGTCCCCAATGCTCTGCAGGATGCCCAGGGGTGCTCTGGGGCCCCCTGCATCCTGAGAAGCCTCTTCCCGAGGCCACATGGGGTGCTGTGGCACTCCACACCCCTCACTGGACGTGGGGAAACCAAGCGCAGTCCAGGAGAGCACAGGAAAGTACAGCCGTGGGAGATGTTGCAGGACTCAAGTGGATGAACCCAGGATAAGCCTGCCTCCTCTTTCTGCCTGAGCCTGCGCACCCCGTGGCGGGGTCAACTTGGGTGCCTCCTCTCTCCGTGAGACCACCTGGTGAACAGAAGGTGCTGACCTTTCTGCCCCAACATAGGGATCAGGAGCCTGCCCTTGGGTCAGCCAGGTGGCAGAGCAGGAAGGTTCAGTGGAGGCCTGGAAGAATGAGGCCTCAGCCTCTTGCAGCTGGAAACTTCCTGCTAAGTGGACTCACTGCCAAGGTCAAAGTCATGTCTACCTGCTCCCAATGGTTATGGAGGTCTGTGGTTTCCCGAACAGCATGCGCCTGGGCTCAGCAGACATTTGTCAACTTTAGATGGTAATCTGCCTGGTCTCACCTCCCCTCACTCTTGGACGTGCCCCTGCTGCACATGGTCTGCAAGGCTCCCAAGCACCCTGTTTGGAAGCATCACATGGGTGTTCAGGCCCTCAGAGATCGGCCTGCTGGGCATGTGCAGAAGCTGCACAGCAGTGACCCACCCCGGTCTCCCTGATGACAGAGCCCACACCAGCATGCGTCTCTGGGACAAACTGGAGCACCAAGAAGGGGGCCGTGGCCACTACAGCAGTCCCCAGGCCCAGTCCTGTGTGGGGCCAGGTGAGTGCCCAGACATGGGCATGGGGACAGGCCATCAGAGGCCAAAGGCCCTCAGGTGAAGGCAGGCCATGGGCCACCACAGCTCATAGCCCAGCTCCACTGGGGGGTCACACAGACACACAGTTCACAGCAGAGGAGGGGCTGCACTTTCACGGGACTGAGTCCTGTACCTGCAGCTCCTAGTTCCTCCCAGCAACTCCGTCGTCTGCAGTGCACAAGTCCTGTCTCTCCTGGGTCGGGCCTCTCCTGGGTCTCCTTTCTTCTCACTGTCAGTGTACACGGGGTTTTCCCATCTGCATCCCACCTTTCAATGTCTAGAAATACAATTCCTACCCACAGCTTTGCTAACTCCTCATGTCAACTGTGCCTGGGGACGGTGCTGCCCCTTCCACACCGGCCCACGCCCTCCAGGGGACCGTGCTGCCCCTTCCACACCGGCCCACGCCCTCCAGGGGACTGTGCTGCCCCTTCCGCACCGGCCCACGCCCTCCAGGGGACCGTGCTGCCCCTTCCGCACCGGCCCACGCCCTCCAGGGGACCGTGCTGCCCCTTCCGCACCGGCCCACGCCCTCCAGCTCCTCTTTCTGCCTGATTGCTCTGAGCCATGCCTCAAGTCCAGCAGAGGTCATCACTGTTTTTCTTCCTAAAGTCTAGCTCTTGTTTTATCTGTTTCCCTATTTCTCTATGATTTCTGCTCTGGTCTTGATGCCCTTTCTCCCCGGCCTTTGCCTGGTTTTCTCTTCCTTCTGGTTCCACAGCATAAACTCCATCATTGGTTTGAAACCTTTCTCCTGTAAGGTGCACATTTCCCTCCACTGCACCGCTGTGTCGACACCAAGGTGTGTTGTGGGGCTTTTGGTCCAGCTCAGAGCATCTTCAACCTTCCCTTGGGGTCTCTTCCTTGGCCACTGATTACTTAAGAGTGTATAGTCACATTCTCACAGAGCATTAGACATTCAAGGGGAAACAGCTCCCTGGAAATGTGTGGGACTTTGGGTGGTGGATCATGGAGATTCCCATCTGATCGAATGGTTGTGGCTGGCCAGTCTCTGTGGAG